GGACAGAGAATAGCCCGCTGATACAATAATGAGTACTGAGCTCAGAAAGACTTTTTACTTTCATTCCTCTTTGACCATGTTCTGTATTTGACTCTCATCAGTCAGCAAACAACCACCACAGCCCCTCATGCTACTTGCCTGCAGCGTACCTGCACTGACCCCACTCTCCAGCACGCAGCAAGCTGAAAGCCCCATCACCACAACAAAGCCAAGAAACTGAGCCAGCTGCTCAAGTTCAGTTTCTACACTAAAATATGAGATGAGAATTATGCGCTACAACTACAGAATAGCAGTTCTGCTGTTTTGCCTTTAAAGGGACCAATGCAGAAGAATAGTTTAAAATCTGCAGTCTTTTTATAAATAAGCATTTTAAACTGGAATTTAAGTACTAATAAAAGATATGAAACCAAAGGAGATCCAGTCTCCAAACATTTTTATTTTCCTACTTCTCACATTCTTTTACTGTCAAAAGACTTTCCTCCATACTTTACATTCATGGTTCTGATCTGGTAACACCCCGTTTTCCCACTCATGCCCAAACAGTGAGAACAAGAATTTCAGAAACTTAGAAAGGAAGAAGCAGTCAGACTTCATAGAGAACAAGGGTATGCAGCATAATATTAAGCCCTCCACACAATACAACAGAACAAAGTCTCTGAACAACAGCCCCCAATTATCCTTACGCTTTTGGAGTTGAGGTAGATTTGTTCACACATTTTCCCTTCTTCTGAAGGAAATAATTAAACTTCAGTTTCTGTGCGTTTTGTTGAGGGAACTGCTACTACTGACAGAAACTGTGGCAAGCTCATCCCCTGGGTCTCTCGCCCTATTCTGTGGGCACATCTTCTAGGAAGGCACAGAACACATGTATTGCCACAGTTATCACTTCACTGGAGTACCTCACAACCTTTCAGGAGAAACTATTACCGCATAGATAGAAGTCACCTAGAGTCAATATTTAATATGTCAAAAAAAAAAAACCCCAACAAACAAAACACACCACAAAAAACCAACGAAAACAGAACACCAACTGGGAAGCTTCTAGCTTAACAGAGATCTGTTTATCTCAAGACTTGCATAATTTCAAAGGTAAGCAAAACTGTATTTTACAATATTAAAAGCATTCTTTCAGAGAGAACATCTGGACTCAAAAAAAACACCCCATACCTCGGAAAGTCATAGCCTACCTAAAGGATTTTGCCTAATTAGAAGACTTAGCGTAGCATGGGGAAAGTAGAGTTGCACAAAGATGCACCGTCAATCTCAGTAGGAACAAGCAGTTTCACTGGTATTTTTTTGCTTGCTTAAAGCTTGGCTTTTGAGCAAACTTGCTTAGCAACCTTAGGGTGAACTGCACTGGTCCAAGGATTCTCTCTGCCTCAGAGAAAGCAGGGATGGACTCTTTTAAGAAATCTGAATCTGCCGCAAAATAGTCCTTGGGGTTCAAACAGAAAACTATGTCATTGGTGAAGGTGAGATTAGCACATTTTATGGTTTGGCCTGACATGCTGCATTACTTTCCTCAGAGTAGTGAGACAAACAACTCTGTGGCCATAATGTAGTTTACAGGAAGTGACAGCAATATGCTTTTAGAAGTGAATCCTCCTCTCAATATTATTCAGCTATAGGAAAAACAAGCAGCTAGTTGAAGCTGGCTAAGTAACATTCAAAGTCAGAGGAGATTTGAATTTCAGTGAAGAACATATTTTACCTGGAGGTGAAAAGGTGTGCGTGTATATCTGCAGTATTAAAATGAAAATGCTGTCAAAGCTTTAATTGTTAACATAGCTAAAAAATTGCATAATTACAATTTACAGAACTCCTGCAGAAATATAAGAAAAAAACCCATCACCTTTGTTTCCAGACAAATTATTCTTCTGCCTCAGATCTCCTAGAACTGTTAATATTTTACCTCAAGAATACAGTCCTGAGTACATAATTACCCTGTCAAGACCACTGCACATTCTGGTACACTAGCCCCTCTCTCAATCTTTGCTGATTGATAACATCAGTAAAACTCACTGGCTTTAATTAACCTCCACAGAGGATTTCCTTTTTCCCCTCTCACTAGAATGTTCTTTAATGCTGGGGAAGTGGGGGTGAGAAATAAGGTAAGGAGGGTTTCTCTCACCTTCACAGCTCACTTGCCTCTGGCATTTTAATAGATTTTTTACACAACTCATTGTATTTCATTGCTACCCAGGGACATAATGAAAAAATTACTACAAAGTGACACTATCATATTTTTTCTCTACCAGTATCAGTGGCAAAGACATGAACACTCTCAATCTTTGACATGCTGCACTAAACTCAGAAATCAAACCATCATGTTTATTTTTAGTATTTTGTTATTTTCCATTAAGTGTAAAAAGCATTTTCAAGAGTAGTACCATAGATTAAATTTAAAGGTGGAGTTGTTGACCAGTTAAATTGGAGCATAATTCCTTTAAAACGGATCTTCTTGTAAATCTAAGTAATGGTTCAGGGCACCAAGTGAAACTGCATTGCATTATGCCAAGTTTTAAGGACACTCTGACTCAAAGGACACTAATGAAGTTGCAGCACATCCTGCGTTTCAAAAGTCTTCCTGTGCTGTACTGCACTTCTCTGGGCATTCAAAAAGCTGACATTTTAGTATTCACTCTTGTACTCAAGTTCTAACTAGCTCTTCTCATTACTGAGTTTTCTACAGGAGGGCAGTCAGTTAGGTGATGATGGTAAAGTAGGACATCTTGAGCTTATAGCCAAAGAATTTGTCAAACCATTCCAGCACAAAGTTGGCAGAATGGTAACATGTTAAGCCTGTTTTTATTTTAAATATATGCAAAGTTATAAAGGAGTGGGAAGAAAACCTACAGATTTAATACTTTAGATAATTTTTTTCTTAAAACTCTATTCCCCTGACAGGTAATAATTACCCCTGTAAATATCCCAATAATCCAAAGAGCTTCAGAGGCAGAAAACTTTATTCAATCTGACTTCTAATCAGCACTAGGCTAGGTAAAATACAGCTAGATAATCAATGCTATTTTATAATAAAAGGACCACTCCCCAGGCCTCTAGTTGGACAGACTATTTTTTACTGCTTTCGAACACGTATTTGCATACATGTCTAAACATCTCACTGGCATTCTCGATTAACACAACTGCCAGTTCTCACACACAGGGGCTCTGCCATGTCAGGCCCTCTCACACCAGTGAGCTGGGGATAGAACAGTGGAAACTCCTCAGCTCTAGTTCACCTCAAAAGGGAGGAACGAGCACCACATTACCATCATCTTCAGTGTTCCCTTGGTAGTTACAGTCCACAAAGGACTGTGCCCAGCTTTAAAGCAGCCTAGCATTCATGAAGAGAAGCCAGATATTTTCCTGTGTCTTTCTGCTACCCCTAACAGTGCAGGTAAAAAGCTGCCTCCTATTCACCATCTTGCACAGCCCTAAGCCAGTTTAAAGACAGGCCACATGTTTGCCCACTCCTTTTCAGATCAAGGACCTGACTACACTTGTTAATGCAGGAGTCTTTTACTCCACACTGAAAGATATTCCTATGGATATAATCTCACAATAAATTCACTTTTTTTTTTAAGAGTTTTTCGAAGAACATGGTGAGTGGAAGCCACCAAGGATTTCTCCTCTCCCAAGCAAAAGCCAAGCCAAGCCAAAAACGTGCACTGAATTTTCTTATCACTATGTGTAAATCAGTGACTCTCATAACCTTCTTGCTTCTCTGGTTCTCCACATTTGGGAAGAACTGATCTTTCCAGGACAACCCAAATGAAAAAAGGAGTCATGGAAAAACAAGCAGGTAACCAGAAAAATCACCCCAGGCACAGAAATAAGCATTTTCACTGTCTCAAACGGAGCAAAGAGCCTGTCAGCAGCATCATCTTCCAAACGAGAAAAATCCACAGAAAACACTTCACCTTTTATAAGATACAACTCATTTTCACACTGAAGTCGCACAATTAAATGAAGCCCAAACTTCACAGCATACATGACATAAGCATGTTTACATTGCAAAAAACCACGAATCATGCCACAGAGGGTACCATATAGTATGAGGATGCATACTTGTCTAGCAGAGCAGGGTTCAGGTATCTAACATACCTGTAAAGTGCCTTCAACATTAATGTATACTTACTCTGATGTTTTAATATTCAGGTGAAATCAGAAGACAACACAACTGGTACCAGGTACAAGACTAAGACTGCTATGACTTGTTTTGGAGGTATGGATCTGAAGGTTTAAGATACTTTAAGAATTATTCAATGGAAGTGTTCCATAGCATGTTCTTTTTAAAAGAGGTAACAAATAATAGGTTTTTGTGTCACTACCCTTACAAAAAAGTTTAACCCAGAATTTTGCAAATTCACCTTTTCAATGTATTTTATTTCAAGAAAATAGTAAGTGACATCCTCTTTTACGGATCATAAAATGAGTATCCTCAATCTTCTGTTAATGGATTAAAACAGTATTAAGAAAAGCAACTGTCAAGATGTCTGTTTCTAGAAATAAGAGACACTGAATTTAAGCGCAGGAAGAGTTACAACACAACAGAAAAAGAGAGGAATATCAAACATTAGAGATCTAGAAACTAGGGCCCTAGAAATCCAGTAATTCATAGATAAATGAAATAGTTATTTCAGCATTTTATTTTAAGTGTTTGCAAGAGAAACAAGACAACTAGCAACCTTAAGAAAGGAAATATTAATAAGGAATTTATACCATCTGTGAGAAGGTAAGGAAGACATTTCTTCACCTAAAGCATGAAATACAATTTGCCAGTTAAAAAACCTCAAACATACATCTAGAATGCCAAGAAAAAGAAATTGTAATTTAACTCTCTAAACCTAAGCAGACTAGAAAGGACTAACATTTGCTTCATGAGGTTCTAACCTATTCTACTGACATTAGCAGAATTCTTATTACATTTGGAAAAGTAAATCAAATCAGGAATTCAAAACAATTCCGTTTTTTTAAATCATATTAACACTACATACTTTTATTGTTTTAGTTTGAAGTCTCAATCCATTCAGAGTGTTGATAGCTTTTTCGGCATCCTTGGTGTCAACGTAGTTCACAAAACCATAACCCAAGCTTTGTCCTGATTAAAAAGAAGGAATAAAAGTGATCATTAGTACTGCAGTGTCACACAATAGATAGCTAACTGTTTTAAAGCTACAGAGACACACCAGGCAAACATTGCTTATACTGAAGAATAGTATCTGCTCCAGATAAAATATGAAATGGTCATGACATTTCCAGGAAGGTTAGTAGATTTTAAGTAGCTTCCTCTGTTCCTGTGTACTGCAGAACTTTTGTTCAACACAGAAATGGTTATATTCAGTTTAATGAAAGGCTTAAAGATGAGTGAGTTTAAAATGTTCCTCACCGTCAGAATCTGAGCCAAATCTGAAGCCAAACATTTTTACAGGTGTCATTCATATACCACACACAGCCTCTCAGTAAAGAGTTTAAAGGCTTCTTTTATTCTGATATTCAAAACAACTGGTAAAAGTAACTGACCATGAGCTAAATATCAGTCGAAGATGCTTTATTTTCAGGTTGTTTTAGTGATGGAAATTCAGATGATAGATGTACATAAAGCATTTTAAATTAGCTCTTAATCTCTCAACAACAGCCCATTTCTAACCGTGCATTCTGTCTAAGCACTTATTAAACACTTCAGTTCAGCCGTAAGAGTCCTTTCAACAACCTCAAAACCTACAGTATGCCACCCCTAACTAGCACTCCCCTTCAGAAGTACTTTTAGTGAATAAGAATGCGATTAGGTGTAAAATTTTAACACAGTGATAGTATACCATTCAGTAAGGACATTATCTTTTATTAGCACAAACCTTTTCAGAAACACTCCCATACTCTTGACCATTAAAAAAAAAAAAAAAAAAGCTATAGGGAAGCATCCAACATATCTAATTCACAAAATTCTAGTTAAAAATATTAATTTGGATATAGGAGAATATAAAAGAATACACAACATTATATAAACCAAAAATGGCAATTTCATTTATTGCCAAAAAAAGATAAAAAGAACTTATGCTGTATCAAGTTCTTGTATCTACACAGTATGTATTATACAGTACATAATGTAAAAACATGGGAAGTTTGCCCTTGATTCAATATGACAAGAGAGGGTTTAATAACATGCCCATCACCACTGGCATCCACAGTTTTGTACCAATTATGCCTACCATGACACCAAAGGAACAAGGACACCATGACCACTCCACTCCCCAAAGCTTCCTCCATCCTCTTCTGTCTCCTCCTCAAAACACCACACACAAGCACTGTTTGTCTAGATGGAGCCAGGAACAGGTTAACATAGGCATCAACAGAGAACCTAAACCCCAAGTGGATACAGTAGTGAGCAACTCACTCTAGAGAACCCTGTTCTCAGCAGGAGGTTAGACTACAGCATCTTCAGAAGTGCCTTCAACCTCAACAGTTTCAGGCTCCTGTAACAAACCATATGGAAATACACAGAAGCATTTCTGTATTCATTTACAGCTCTAACTAGATATATCTAAGCTTCTTGTCTTGGAAGTGCCTTTTTCCTTATTACACTGATGACAGTAGAGCACTTTCTATACCTGTCACCTCCATCACTCCCACCGTCTGCAGAAACTCTTCCCAACAGTGTCTCCAAAAAAGAGGAATGACTTATTTCAGTCTTATTCCTAATATAGAAATGCTGATTTTAGGTGTTGTTATTAATCTCCTAAGGAAGCCATTTAAACCACAACCTTAAAATATGTTAAATTCCAAGAGAGAAAGCTATTTCAGATAAGATGTTCTAACTACTCATTAATTCCAGACTGAAGTGAAAGTTGTGCACAAGTTATTTTTACTACCCCTCTGTTGATGTGATCTACTTTTCACATTAAAAACACCCAGACCACTGCAGACAAAGAGTATGCCCTGCTGTTATAAAGGATTTAATTAATGACCATTTTTCTGGAGACACTCCACAATTAAGCTGAACAGTGACAGAAAATAGCTCTGGACTCTTCCATCTGTGCCTCTTCTGCACCGAATCCACTCACCAAGACAGAAATCCCCTGCACAGCACACACTTGTTTCCAAGTGCTATTACGAGTTTAGGTGTTCTAAATATCCAGTTTAGCCTTTTGTAGATCTTCAAAATTACAGCCTATTCAACCTTAACACAGACAAGAGACTAACTATCTGAGCACATCAGCTCTTTATTATGAACTCAGATCTATAAGCAGTATTAAATGTAGTATCCTAAACTAAGGAGTGGCAAGAGTTTCTTGGTTTTTTTGTGAATTTGTACTTGTGCTGTTAAGAAAACACATTCACCATCTTCAAGGCAAATGCTCTGTTCATTTGCAGATAAGCAACATTTCAGAAGTTATACTCAAACTGAGTTGAGCTTATTCTTCTTGACAATTCTTGTGGCTACTTCACAGACCTGTTTAAAGCCCTTTCCGTAGACTTTCTACTACGTTTTAGGCTTGGAACACTATAAATATTAGACAATATGGTGCAGAAAAGTGTAACAATTAACTAAATGATTGTTAAAACAGTCACCTAAAGTAGGAAAAAGAAAAATGAAAAAATGCACAGGGTAATTCACAATACTTATCAGAGAAGAATCACAAATAAATTCATTTTATTCTGCCCAAGTTGTTTCACATTTACTGTAAATAATGTACACAGCTGTAAAAGCTCAAAGGAAATTGCTATACAATATCCAGAGAAAGTCACAAATAAGTGCTGTCTACAGAAAAAGAAGTCAAGCCAAGTAGTCGTGATAGAAGTGACACTTGTCCATTTTCAAAGTTTTGCTTTTTAAAGTAGCAGCAATTTCCTTAAAGCAGGATACAGCCCTTTCAGTGGAATTTCTAAACCAGTATTCTCCTTCTGACAAAACAAAAATTCAACTTCCTGAATGGGAAAAATTTCACTCTAGAACTCAACTTATGTGAAAGGACTCCTTGGTTATTTCCAGCAACTGCTTCAACATTTTTAGCACAAGTTCATAGCGCATTCCTGCTGCAAGAATAGAATTTTAGAAATAAAAATCATGATGAAGACTTAGGTTGGATTACTGTAGATGCAACTCAAATGAATAAATCACAAAGAGATCAAGAAACTTAACTGATTGTTTAGCAAAATCCAAGCCAAGTCCAGTTTTACTTTAAGGTCACTCAGAAGAATGCGGGATTAAAAAAAAAAAAAAGGCATCAAACTGTCCTGTACATTTCCATGAGGCACAGCTATTTACACCACCTAAAAGAAGCACTGAATTACTGAATGCTCAAAGGCATAAGACAGCTGACTTCATCACTGTTAACTATCTATGCAAAACCTTCTCATGAACTTGCAAGGAATAAGACCTAGAGACAAGGTAATTTTTCCTATTGCCCTGTTACCATCCAATTATTCATAAAAGAGAGCTGGTGACATGAAAGGAAGAAAAACTAAGACCTGGAGCTTTTGGAATACTGATGTATCCTGATACCTAGAGAAGTCCCCTGTTGAAAAAGCATTCATGCATAAAGCATTTGGTTGCACAAAACAGCACAGGTGTCCTGAGGCATCCCCCACTTCAGTGTTAGGAGTTCAACCAGTGAATCTGTCATGTAAGACTACAGATGGTTCTAGATATCACAATTAATAGGATACTATTGTTTATGAGTGTGAAGCAACACGCCTGGTGTGTTTCTTCTGCTGGTTACTGTAGTCTAAACATTTCCTCTGAAGTCCACTTCCACAGTGAACACAGTTCTTCATCACTGTTTCTTGCAGGGTCTGCTGCTGTTCTCAGCATACACAGCCCTCTCTACTTCATTATCAGTTTAAAGATCATGTATTCTGATTAAAATACGAGGTAAAATTATTTTTCTAGATTCAAATGAAGTGAGTTCTAAGAGCTGGTGGTGTCTCCTTGCTACTGCCTGTCTACTGGGGCTGGGCTGCTAATGGTGATCACCCGTCCAAGGTAGTAATTTATGCCTCAACTGGACTGAGGGCAGCACTTGTAAATAGAAATGAACGGTTGAAGATATAAATGCATGGTAAGATAACAGAGGCTTTACTCTCCCTAGATAATCCATACACAATTACCATATCTTAGCAGTTTATTCTTCTCTAATAATTCTTACTGTGTCTAAGCTTCTGTTTCTCTGGGAAATCCAGAATCTATGTTGCCATGTATTTGAGTCCCTGTTTGAAAATAAAAAAACCTGTAAGACACTCCAACTTCATTATCTACCCCCACTAAACACATTTTGTTCTTTCCAACAAACCTCTAATAACATTCTACTTTTATGTTGGAGTTACACAGACCAGGCCATTTAGCCCAACCACACCAGGCCAACAATTCAAATGTTTTCTGAATATCTGCCTCTTCTCTCAACCTCCCTGGGAAGCAGTCTGCCTGACAACTTTTCTTCCAAGAGAAAAGTACACTTGCCAACAATAATTTCCTTCCTTTTCTCTTTGGAAGTAGCTACAACAGTCACAGCTTATTAAAGCTTTAATATACCATAACAGCTTAATTCTTCCGTTACTTCACTGCCAAAAAAAAAAAAAAAAAAAAAAGAAGGAAAAAGGAGACAGAAAGGACAAGACCCTTTGAATCAGACAGCTCCTGTGATGGTAAAGTTATAGAGATCCCCTCCCTTTGACTACTATACCCATAAAACAGGAAAACAGGTGGAAGTAAATAAAGTGTGAATACAGCATCGGAAAGAGAAAACTTCTCTAACTAGACTGATACAGAGGATTGTCTTTGTAGCTACTCCCTTCTGCACTGGCCCAAGAATGGCAGTCCATATGTTATAGCAGACAATGGAGTGCTGGAATGCTGCAAAATGTTTGTCTTAGACACTTTCCACCTATGAGCTATCACTCAGTTTCAGGAATAATACTCTCTAAAGCCTGTGGGCACCTCAGAACCAAGAAAAGAAAAAATGCTGGTTTTGTCTGAAACAGTATTAAGGCAGCATCTTCAAGAGCTCTTTTACCCAATGCTACTGGGCAGGGTGCATAATAAGGCCAGAAAGACTGAGCTGATGAGGCCCTCTACAGACAGATCAGAGCAACTCTACATTCACA